AGGCCCAAACTCTAGGTTAATAATTGAACTTGCTTACATAAAAAATAAATAAATAAATAAAGGTGAGGACTTCTCCCAAATGGTGAGAAGTGGAAAATGATTAGATGGAGGTTGTCTTAATTTGTAGCCTAGTTGATTTGAGCTTGTAAGTCCGTAGGGGTATTTGAATACCTAATGCCCTAAAGCCATCTGGTTTAGGAGTCATTGACCTAACGCTCGACCTCATGAATTGCTAGAAGGCTTAATAGATCAACACATTGCACCATGCTTCCTTTTTTGATCCCAAAAAAAATTTAAAAATAAAAAATAAAAAATAATAATAAAATTGAGTGAAAAGAATAAGCGCACTTAGAACAATAAAGTTTTAATAAAAGGTCCACTTTTTGTCTTGATGATCGGTACTAGATTTGTGTGCTAGTTTGAGGGTAAGGATGTGATTAATTCTTTAGTTGGCTAAGATAGCAACATATTTGATGCCAGTCCACTCAAAAAGGATTCTAGAGTTGTTTTAATTTGCATGATCATTTGCTTGATATGTGGAGGACCATACTTATTTGCTTGATGTTGAAATTTTGGGAGATTACTTGGAAATGTTTGAAAAATTGCATACTTGAGGTAGTTTTCTCCTAATGCTTGTTTGCAATATTGGTACCTCTTTTGAAAGAATAAGCTTAGTGTTTGTGGGTACCATTTCTGGAAACCCTCATGAGACTTCACTCGTCCACTAGGGGTAACCTAGGGGTTTAAAAGGCTTGTTGCATGTGCTAAGTGCAATCGTGCTCCCTACGAAAGTGGCGTTATCCATTTATTATTTTCTAGATTCATACTTGTATAGTTATTCATTTCATTCCTTTACTTTCTAGTTCATTGGTAGGGACTAGCAATATTTAAGTTTGGGGGTATGATGAGCGCTGAAAAGTGCATCTTTAAACCCCTTAAGCTTAGGCATTCTAACACCTTTATCTATCTTACTTTACCGTTTTAGATTGATTTCGTATTATTTTCATTTTTAGGCACTTATCCCGAAAATAAGCTAACTCAGTCAAATAAGAGCTTAATTGAAACAATTCTGGGATTAAACAAAGAAATGAGCAAAGTGGAGAAAGAAAGAAGCAAATGAAGCCAAAGGTGGGAAGCAGCAAAGTTCGATCGATCCAACTTCAAGGTTCGATCGATTAAACAATGATCGATCTCAGCACTTCAAGATAGATCCAAGCCTTGGCCCAAAAGCAAAAAGTCCAAAGTTCGATCGATCCAACACCACCCTTCGATCGATCGAACACTTTTGTCCTTATTCAAATAATTGATCCTATCCATAGCTGTACCACCCACTAACCACTTTTGTCCTTTTCCCAAAAATATCTTCCAAAATATCTCGGATTTGTCTTTTCCCAAAAAGCTCAACCAGTTGGATCGATCCAGCCTAAGTTCGATGGATCTCAACCAGTTCGATCAATCCAAGTCCAAGGTTCGATCAATCGAACTTCCTCCAGTGCGAAAAAGTTATATTTCCAGCTTGTTCAATCCGTCCTCTATCCAATCATTAGAGAATATTCTTTACACGACCCCAGCTCATTTTGTGTGTCACTTGACCTACTTATAAGAGGAATATGATGCACTTTTTGAGATATATATACAATTCTAGGGTTTATTCTCTTGGAGAGCAAGTTTAGAGGAGGAGGAGGCTAGAGACACCATTGGACATTCTTCATCAACCAAGGAGCAAATCTCTTCCATGGAGTTAGCCCTTGAGGGTTGGAGCAACATCACCATGAGTGGCTAGACATACTCTTGGGGCTAGAGTTAGCCCCAAGCATGCTTTCTATATCTTAATCTCGTGTATTATTGAGGGATTAGTGTTATAATTAATGTTTTGACACTTTGATATATATATAGATCTTATTTATTCAATGATTTATGTGGTTTAATACTTCCAATTGATCATTTCATTTTATCCATATGTCTATGTATGCTAGAATAGATGTTCATGTGCTTATCTCTAGATTTTGTGTTATTGATGCATGTCTATATGTATTGATGCTATAGATTTAAAGATTGTCAAAACATAGTGCTTAATGGAATGCTCTTGTCATTTTCTTGATGGTTCATACTTATTCCTTGATGGATTGTGCCTCTCCCCTAGTTTATTTTCATGCTAGTAGTGTAGATGTAGTGTAGTTGTAGTATAGTGTTAAATGGGAGGACAATCCATGCTTATTGTTTGATGATCCAAGCTTTTGAATGCAAGTAGCATATGTCTCTAACTTTGTGTTATATTTGGATTGTGAGCTTAATGAAAGGATTAATGACTTGTTTTGATCTATTGTGTCTTTCACATGTTGTTTAGACAATATATGCTTCATTGCTTAGATATATTGTGCCTTTTACATGATGTTTAGACAATACATGCTTAACTAGTCATCCTTATTTGTTGAATCAACCAAACACACACACACACACCCCAATATTGCAGCACACATTACCCTCATTAGTCACTTGTTAAGGATATAGAAAAGCATTGCTTGGTGGTGACCTCTAAACCCCAAGATCTCTCTCTCTTACTTACTCTTTATTGCATTCAATTATTAGTTTAATTTGCTCTCTAATTTAATCAACCAACCAACCATTTGTTTGATCACTTGACCTACTAACCCTAATTGCGATTCCACAACCTTGTTCGATCCTCACAATCCCTTTGGACGATCCCTACTCGCCCTAGCTATATTTATAGTGAAAGATAGTAGTGGCTTTTATAAATGTAAAAATCTTGGCTCTCGCCTTAATGCACACTCTCCAAGCTTGATGGTAGTGCGGCCCTCGATACCCCATCAAGACTCCTCCTAATACTGCTGCAAATTTGACATCCTCTGAAATTCACACCACAAAAAAGGCAATCCGATCAAGTGTTTATAGTTAATTTGCATAACCAAATTGCAAATGACTTATTTAGTTCTCGAGTTTAAATTTTATATTTTTAGTTTAATGTAACATTTTTGACACATTCACATTTTTAATAAGTACTGCTTGAATATTGTTAATTATTTAAGTTTGAATTTTTATTTTTTTATGATTAAATTTGCATTAATATTCATTGTTAAATTGATATATTTTATTGAGTGGATGGGGTTGTTTTATTAATATTTTTGTATTATAAATATAAAACTGTTATGAGTATCAGATATTGAAAGCAAAAATGTAATATGTACAGTTTTCAGATTTTAGCTTTTATATATAACAAATAATCTTAATGAATTCACTACTTAAAATTAAAACGTTATCAAATAGGTTTTCAAATTAATTCAAATTAATACATTCAGTATTTAAAATTCAGTACTTGAAATTTTCAATACTCAGTTTTATCAAACAAAATCTTAGGAAGTTAGGACTCAACAAAAATGACGTCGTTTTGCCATGATTTTGAATTTTTTTTTTTGTTTGCCGCATCTAGATTTGAACAGTGAATTCTTTGTTGCATCTATAAATACTAACCGTAGAATGTTTCATCATAATTGTGACAATTTACGAGTGCTAAATTTAATTTTGTTCGGGAATTTGGATAAGATATAAATTCCTATGATGTTTATCCCAACTTTTTAGGACCCAAAATGGAACTTTGGGATGCGCTTTGATAAAACTAGAAGCTTTAGACGCGATTAGATGCCTCTGATTGCCTCCTATATGATCAACAATGAAATTAGCTCAAACGAAGGGCAAATTTGAGGGTTTTATGATAAAAATACTTAAATTTTATCTTGAAAGTGACAACTCAAAATTTTGATGATGGGAAAATGTTGATTTGAAAATCGATAGTTGAAAATGATGTTTGGAGCCTTTTGATTGGGCTTGATGAAGGATTAAAACCTTCCGATGCTGATCAAAATTGAAATCAACATACTAAAAACCTAATTTGGGGCTTGATTTGAGACCGACTCCACGATTGGATGGTGGGAATGGCTTGATTTGATATTGACTCCTCGGTTGGATGTTAACAAAAATCTTAACTAGTCTAGAGATATCATGGCACGTGTTTTACTTTATATTATTAGAAATTATATATATATATATATATATATATATATATATATATTGGTGGGGATGGTCAACAATCAAGAGATTGGTAGAATACTTCATATTTTAAGTAAAACCATGTTGCAAATGAAGCAAAACTTTGTGACAAGCTTTATTCCTCATTTCAAACAATGTTTATTCAGCTCAACAGATACTCTTGCAAATCTATGTGACTAATTGAGTCGAAATTTGTATGTTTTTAAGTGTAATTCGAATTAATCTTAGTCGACTAACTTCGAAATCAAAATTGAATAATAATAATAATAATAATAATAATAATAGAGTTGTCATAAGGATGCTTGAAAGGGAGAATGTTATGATCCAAGATGGAACAAAAAAAAACTGCTTAGATTCACCCATTTTTTGGTGCTAGTTGAAGGATTAAGGAGCTTATACAGAGTTTGGAAGAAAAACTTATTTATTCACCTCCTAAACTCTGACTCATTGCAAAGACAAATGGACTAATGCAGGGCACGGCCGAGCTCGACATAAAAACAACTGATTATTAGCATCATCTCTGTAAGGAAATCATAGATGGTGACTAAATTTATTGTCCTTAGTCAACTATAGATTTAGCATGTACCGTTAACATGAATATAAAATTACCATACAAATTATAAATAATAATAAATAAATAAATAAGAAAGTATCAACTTTTTGCTGCAAACCCCCTAAACTTTTCTTGATCCACCCCATCTTTCAAAATCTGATAAAATGCACCCTTCTTGTTTGAAGGCCATCCAGTCTTTGTTAAACTACATGTGCAGTTTGAAGAGTGGCATCTAAACTGTATTTGTTGGGGAGGACCGGAGGGGTGGAAACACTACATGTGCAGTTTCATAATCATACAATTTCAGTACATTACAAATGGTTAAACAACGAACATTTACAGACTCACAAGGCAAGAAAAAAAAAAAAAAAAAAAAATTACATTTTCAGAAAACCTGCACCAGCATAAACTTTCTACTATACATACATCCATCATACAATCAAATTCATGACTTACAGACTTCCTAATCCTATAATCAAATCAACAACTTAAATTTTCATGTCTGTCCTTTTCTACTCTATGTTCTAGATCATGTTCAATAGTCATTCTCTCTTATTAATAGGATTGAATACAGGACAAAACTACAAAAAATTTAAAAAATAAATTAAAAAATTCCCCGAATTACCACATGGAGCATATACCCCTAAACTCTCCATAACCACAAGCATTGCTCCCCAAGGATGCCAGCTATTTCAAATGTGTACACTAAGCTGGAAAAAAGAACTTAAATAGAAAGAAGACTTGAACCTTTGATGTGAGCCGGTCAAATAATTGAGCTGAAGCTTTCAACGGGATCAGATTCTTCAAGCATAGAGGCAGCCTGGAAGCAGTCTGTAGCATCAGCAATCCGTCCATCGTCCCTGTGAACCAATCCTAAGTAATACCAAGCCATACGATTTGTAGGTTCTATCCTCAGTGCATCTGAGAGTAAGCTTCTTGCCACTGGCAATGCTTTTGAGCCCATCTTTGACAAAATAGCACCGACCAAGATCTTGCAAGGCACGTAATCCGATTCCAATAAAATAGCATTACTATAAGCCGTCAAAGCCTCCTGCATTTGTCCCTGTCGTTCCCACATAACACCTAATAGCATTACAATTTTTTATCAGAAGTCGAATTTTTTTTAAGGTACAACATTGTTGTTTATAAAAAGTAGGGAAGACAAAAATGTAGGATGAGACATCCTACATTAGATGAGATGCTCAAATATATGTATACAAACAAATAACCCCTCAAGGGGAATAATGATCCCCTCTGAAAACTTGCCATGGTACCCTTTCCTTTAGTAGAAATCCAATATAGAAGAAAGAAAAGAGAAATATGTAAAAAGTTTGAAAGAGATAATCACTCATTCACAACTCTAGTATATATAGATAAAAAGAGCGCATGCTCATATTACAAGAAATCAAATCAAAATCAAATCACAGCATATTCTATGGCATATTATACAGCATAATCAAATATCTGCTAATATGGTAAGTCATTCCATAAATTGTGGCTATAATGTTTGTTAACACTCCCCCTCAATTTTGTGCGTGGACATCTGAAACGCCCAACTTGGACAATGCATTCTCAAACACAATCTTGCTGACAACTTTTGTAAGAATATCTACAAGCTGCTGAGAACTTTAAACAAATGGAGTGAAAATCTGACTAGCGATAATTTTCTCTCAGATGAAGTGTCGATCAACAAATCAAAAATGTCTCCTTAGACCATAAACAATTAACAATATCTCCTTAGACCACAAACAACCAATCATATCTCCTCATACCGTAAACAACCAACAATGTCTCCTCAGACCATTTCCCTTCATACACATGTTTAAAACATGCAGATGGAAGAATCAACAATGTCTTCTCAGACCATTCCCCTTCATAAATATGTTTAAACAATGTAGATGAAAGAATCAACAACGTAGATGAAAGATTCAACAATGTCTCCTCAGACCATAAAAAGAAACAACTATATCTCCTCAGACCATTTCTATATGGGTGATGCCAAACTCGCAACGCCCTTATTAAGGTCAGACCACCTTGCCTACCCGACACTTACCAGATGGGCGATGTCACCTTAGACCATTCCCAAATGGGTGGTGCCGTACTCGCAATGCCCTCATTGTAGTCGGACCTGGCTCTGATACCAAATAGAAATACAATATAGAAGAAAGAGAAGAGAAATATTTAAAAGGTTTGAATGAAATAATCATTCATTCACAACTTCAGTATTTATAGATAAAAAGAGCACATGCTCATATTACAAGAAAGGAAATTAAATCAAATCAAATCACAACATATTTTATGGCATATTATATAGCATATTCTATAATATAATCAAATATCTGCTAATACGGTAAGTCATTCCAAAAATCGTGGCAATCATATCTGCTAACACCTTTAAAGCTTAATGGTCTACCTCTCAATTACCTGATATACAGATATACAAAAGTAGCAGGCAAAGAGAAGCCCAATCCCAGTAAGCACAACTCCATAAAGCATTTACCCCATTTTCAGCCCATCAAGTAATGACAATTGAACCTCCACTAATCGTTCAAGCCAACAGAGACAGATTTACTCAACTCTTCAAAAGACCCCTACCACCTCTATCTAACCTCATCCTAGACCTGCAGGCTTGCTGGGGCAAAAAACCATCCACACTGAGATCGCCCAGATTCCCAAGAAAACACCTGCCAAATTCTTTTCTTTCTTTTTTTTTTTTTTCTTTTTTTTAATTTTTTTTTTTTCTTTGGGTAAATACACCTGCCAAACTCAGATCACCTTGAGGAGGAGATTTCATCTGCCTAGTATCTTCACCCTCGGCAATATGCGTAGCAATGGTCTAATCCAATTAACAGGAACTAGTGACACAGGTTTTATATTGAAGAAAATCAGAATTCCAACTATGATGAAAAACATTTATCTAAACATACAATATGAAGATGGATAATCTTTAATAATATTGTGCCCCTTGCAAAATTTTGAATGCAAATAACTTCCAGCATTCAGTGATTTTCAGGGAATTAATTTGGTTTCATGGTTTATAACTACAATATACTAAAATATAACAGCTTAATGATATTTTTATACATTAGTAGATTGAGAATGCATTATTACATCTATTTTTCAAATGTATATAATTACCAGATGATCAAGAACTATCCAAGATCATTTCTTCAAATGTTAAATCCCTTTGGATAGTCAAGTTCACACATATATATTTTTTAATATAATACATTTGTAATCCTTTCGTCCCTCATTTCGGCAAATACTCTCATAATTATTCCGTTAACAAAAGAAATCTGTTTTTGTCACAGAAAGCTACACCAAATGTCAGTTGTTGCAAGAATATGTTTTTAACTTGAAACTTAATTCAATTTCAGATTTATAATTAGATTTCAGGTTGTAGAGTTTTCAGAAAGCTGTTTTTTATGCAGGTATTTTACATTGAAAGTGCCAAGTATTTCTGTATTAAAAACACGCACTAGCCATTGAATTAAACACCCAGCCCCTCAATAAAAATTATGGAGTCACATTTATGGTATATCCCACTAATTTATGGAGAACCAAATTTAGTTTTACTTTTGGCGTAGTTTTATACCCTAATGACAATTTAACTGATATCTCAAGAAAAATATCATCAAAATCCCAAGATCATGGAACATTGAGTTGAAAATTTTGCTAATGCTGAATTTCAGTGATCCTTAATAGTTTTTTCATTCTTTTTTATTCCCCGTAAAGAAATCTTAGACTGAACCTCCGTACCAAAAGCCATATTAACTTACGTGAAACTTAATAAAACATTTCATGTAAGACCTAAAATTTGCATTAATTTAATTCTTTCTCAATTTCAAACATGTCTCTTATTTGACACTCCTAGATGTATAAATTACAACCCTTAAATGGAGGGACATTACTTTTTCAAGTAGATGAAACTGTTAGGTCAATAGGATTTAGTTGGCTAATTTTGTAGCATATTCAATGTATTTTTGTTTAAATTTTAGTTGGATAGAAATTTGACAAAAGTTTGCCTCCAAGTTCAAGATCAAGTTACAACAAAGGACAAATTGGTAATCTTCTACAACAAGGGTAAAAAGGTAGAGTCAAATAGTTAGAGCTTGTGAGAGAAATTTGATTCTCGGGTTAGAGAGGAGAAAAGGAAGGAGGAGGAGGAGAAGAAGATAAATGGTTGTAGGGTTTCTACACCACCTTTCTTATACATTATACATATTGAGAAAAGAAAATTACAATGACGCCCCAAAGTAAACAAGTAAAACACTAAACAATCTAACACTCCCCCTCAAGCTGGAGCATACATATTAAGCATGCCCAGCTTGAAACACAACAGCTGAAAGGCACCACGAGCTAACGGCTTCGTAAGAATATCGCCTAATTGATTGTTTGAGCAAATATAGGAGTAACAATCTGTTTCCGCATCAGCAGGTCGCGAATAAAATGACAAGCAACCTCTATATACTTGGTACGCTAGTGAAAAACTGGATTGCTAGCTATATTGGTGTGCTGAAATTCTCCATTATCAGCTCTATTTTTTGTTAGGTTCTTGGGAGAAATTGTAAATCCTTGTATGAGATAGTGGACTTTTTAGACTCTTTGAGAGATTAGAGGCCCTATTTGGTCTTGTGTAGCTTTTGAGGGATGCGTTCCCCTTTTGAACACTTCTTTATATACAATCTTAATTATCCAAAAAAGGAGAGGGTTGCTGGCAATAAAGATAGCTGCTTGATTATCACAATGCATAGGCATAGGAAAAGGAACATCAATTCCAATCTCTTGAAGAAGAGAGCAAACCCACAACATCTCAAAAGCTGTGTGAGCCATAGCACGATACTTGGCCTCAGCACTAGAACAAGCAAAAATGGCTTGCATTTTACTCCTCCAAGTAACAAGATTACTGCCAATAAACATGCAATAACCACATGTAGAGCGCCTGTCACAGTGATTTCCAACCCACTCTGCATCACTAAAACCTATCACAGATAAGGAGGAAGAAGGCTTATATAACAGCCCATTTCTAGACGCACCTTCAAATCACGCAAAATACAACAAACAATCTCAAATAGAGGTTCACGAGGAGCATGCATATATATTGACTAACCACTCCAACATCATAAGTAATGTTGGGATGGGCAACAGAACGATAAATTAATTTCCCAACAAGGCGACGGTAATGTCCAACATCAGTAAACAACTCCCCCTGCTCACCATCAAGTTTGACAGTAGAGTCCATAGGAGTATCAGCAAGTCAAGCACCTAAGAGACCAGTCTTAGAAAGAAGATAAAGAACATATTTCCGTTGAGATAATGAGAGATAATGAGATGCCCTGACGGGAACGAGCAACCTCAATCCCAAGGAAATAGTAAAGTGCACCTAAGTATGGAATTGTTGACCCAAATGACATTTCAACTAGGTCACAGAGATGATAATATGATCAACATAGACAATTAAGACAATGGTGCCCTTAGAAGAATGACGAAAAACACGGAATGATCCGAAGTGGAGCGTTTAAAACCATAATCAATCACCAAAGTACTAAATCTATCAAACCAGGCATGAGGAGACTACTTTAGACCATATAGAGCCTTGCGCAAGCGACAAAATAGGTGCTCACTACCAGTAACAACATAACCAACTTCCTCCTATAAATCGCCATGAAGAAATGCATTCTTTATATCAAGCTGATATAAAGACCAAGAACAGCAAAGTGCCATAGACAGAAGAACACTGACAGATTTAGGACGGGCTACAAGAGAAAATGTCTCTGAGTTATCAACCCCATAGGCCTGAGTGTATCCTTTGGCAACCAAATGCGCCTTAAGACGCTCAACAGAACCATCACAAAAGGATGTGCCTTGCGTTGGGATTGGGTTTTAACATTAACATTCTTTCTTTTCATTCACTCTTCCTTTTTACATAAAAAGGCAGGCGGCTTTCATGATATTTTAAGGTCTCTTTAGAGAGACAATTACTATGTTTGATTTGTTTAGTGTGACATTTGTTGGCAACCTTAGGCTCAGTTTGAGAGTGAAAAAGTTAGGGCTTGGGGATGGAAGTTGGGTTTTGATTTCCT